TGACCAACTCGTGTTATTCCGGGACAGGCCGAATAGCGACTCGTGCCCCGCTCATGGCCATTTTTGTGACCGGGTTCCGTCTTAGCGCAAACGGGCATACCTAAAACAATTGTCAACTCGTTGCGTAATGGTTCACTTACATTTCCCCATATATTATATATATTTCAGATGCAATTTAATCCACATCGGGACGTGCGGAATTATACAGTATGTGTAAGCGTCAAAATTGTTAAGTTATTATTTTCAAAGTTCAGAATCATATTTCCTTTGTTTGTTATCAAAGTATTAAAATATAAATCATATTTCGTTTTTGGCAAGTATTAATTCATATTTCATTTCTTCTCCATTCAAATTTATGTTTACTCATCATAATATGCCAAGGGGCGTAACTGCTTAGTATCGTGTATTATCTTCCATGTGGCCCTAAAAGCATGCAGCATGCATGAGAGAATGAAAGAAATGAGAAAAGGTTTTAAGGATAAAAGAGTCTAAAAACAATGGTGAGTTTGCCAAATTTTGTCATATATATTATTTTATCATTATCTACATGTGTATAAATGTTTTAGAGCAGTTATTTAGTCATAAAGTGTTTTTCATCGTTTGTTTACATTTTGCACAGTATTTCATGTCACTGAAAGGTAGTCAATTTTATTAGGTTAATTCATTTATAATGTCATTATGATTATTTGCATTAATGCATCATTTGATCAAAATAGTAATTATTGTTTATTTATTTGTATTTCAGTCAATCTGAAAATAATTAGATTCTAGTTAAGAAAAGAAAGACATTTATCTAAAAGGAAAAGAAAAGAACTTGAAATCATACGCGCATTCTGATTGGTTTGTCGTATTTTCGCACATAACATTCATCGATAGGGGGACGAGTCTTCTTGCAGGTTACGGAAAGGGGCGAGTGGTGACGAATGGGTGTATTGGTGAATACGCTCGCAAAACGAATGAGTTTTGCACCATGATGAAATACAGGTTACGTGTGGTGTCTCCAAGGGCAAATGACTTCGTTCTCGATTTTGGCTCTGTTTACCAAGAAACTACATTTTAATGGGAAATCGAGTAGCCTGATATTGCCACGAAAAATGGTTTTGTTTGTAAATGTAATTTTAGTTACCAAAGTTAATAAAGATAGTACGTGTTTATTGAAATGTGACCCCGATGGATGTCACAGATGAGGTTTCTACACGCCATTATAGAACCTTTTTCAAGTAATATTTCCAATTTTCGATGTTTATGGATTGCTTTGATATTCCATTTCGAGGTTTAATCATATTAAATCATACAAATGTAAGCGAAGTGATATTCTCAGCGTATTTTGAGCTTTATTGTCATTTTATTTTTCAATTAGTAAGGCTGTCGCGTGCGGCTATATTAGCAGCATCAAACAAACATGACAGATAGCTATAGGTGTCGTTAGAATGCTATCATTGAACGCGAACTGAAAAGTTTGATTTGGGATGAAAAATATCTTCACTCGAGGATAAAAGTTTGAAACTCCAAATTATCCCTCAGAGTTAGATTTTATCGACTAGTGCTGTAATACTTGATGTACAAAATTAAGTGAACTGGGTTTAACTTCTTTTTTTTTACAGTATTCCAGGTATATGACGGCGTTTTAGCTTTGGGAAGAAAGCCCGAAGTGATGCAGGCCTCAGACGTTTACCACTTCGGCGAAACCCGCGAGCACGGGTATGGTGCTGACAAACCTAGAAACATAATCAGGGCGAACCGGTTCGAACCCACAAACATAGCTTTGTTCACAGCGAATCGCGGCGACTTAGACGACTTGGCCACCAGTGCCTTAGATATCGAGAGACACCAGGATGACATTCTGTATGTACCACCAGAAACAACAATGTGCTACTTATGAGAACAAAATGTCATTAGTTTTAATCAACATTACAGTTATTGAAACACAGAATTGATTTATAAACTGCTGGGCAAAAGAAAGTATACGCTTGAAAATCGGAAATTGACCAAACAATTACAAGCATTATCAAAACGTTACTAGGCTGAAAACAGTCACCGAAACTCTACACGCTACCCGTATCCCGTATCAAATGCATCTACATCGAATAATCTTGTTTGTTTTATGTTGTCACCATTAAACATAGGTGTAGACCTTCTTTTGCTCGGCAGTTAACATCAATGTACAGAGACATGGAAACAGTTATAATAAATGTCTACTGTCTTGTGTTTCAGTGTTTTATTAAATGTGATAATGGGATACCTTTTTGAGCGTTGTCATTCACCTATGTTCAGAGTGAGTGAGTGAGTATGGTTTTACGCCGCTTTTAGGAATATTCCAGCAATATCACGGCGGGGGACACCAGAAATGGGCTTCACACATTGTACCCATGTCGGGAATCGAACCCGGGTCTTCGACGTGACGAGCGAACGCTTTAACCACTAGGCTACCCGACCGCCCCACCTATGTTCAGAATATCGAGAGCTAACAAGGGCATTGTTCGTTTTACCGGTATAGTAAATCACGCAGAGAGTTGAGAGTTGATACAAAAATGTTATTTATAATGAAGCTCAGAGAGCGAATACTGAAGTAACAATAATACCATTTGCGGGAATCAGATTCAACCAATAATTCAAACAAATGTTCTACTTTCGCTTTTATGGAAAACATACATAATGAAGTATGCTTTTAGTGTTAGCCACTGTCGGACAAAAGAAAGTATACACATGAAATTAGATTTAACAAAAAATACAAACGTAAGGTCCAAAACACAACAATGATACCTGTATCCTACATCACCATCGAATAACCATTTTTTGTTTGATTCAATTTAACCACCATTAAACATGGGTGTATATTATCTTTTCCTCGGCAGTTTATATTCTCCTTAACCTACAAGATGTCGTATCATGTAGCAACTGAAACGATATTAATGTTTTACGGATACAGTTACATTAAAAAGTATGCAGGAGATGTTGAAACGTGTACCCTGACAATGTGTTACGTGCATCATCAATTTTCACGTCTTTGAGATTTGATAGAATATCAAAGTACGTAGGCCACACACAAAAGGGCAGCTTTCCTCTGAAGAATTCAAGATGCATTTCCCAGAGTACGATAACATTTAACAACTTCCCAACTCGACTCGACAGCACGTATTTTATACAAAGTGCCAAAAAACATTGTCATAAGAACAGTGGTGTGTAATTTGTCGGATATAGAATATCTTTCATCCTGTTTTCAAAGAAGCTTCAATCTAGAGACACTTGGACCTCAGGTGACCGTGGAAGCTCCGTCCCATCACACCAGTGGGGTTCACTGAAAGGGTCAGTCACATCCAAATGTCGACCGATTGATTTTGGACATGCGACTAACTTTGATGTGGCAAGCAATTTCAGATCGGGAGTTCTCGTTTCCTGCCCGCGATGTGGTTACATTGAGTAAATCTTGCAATCTTGGGTGATTAAAACTCAGGCCTGATGGACACGAAGAGTGCTGCCGTAGAACCACGTCCTCCCCGAGTCCTTGAAATGTCACTAAATCAATTTAGGGACGTCTCATTAAGGCCTCCACTTCATCAACAAGACCGAGGTGTAATTATTGTTGGCGATACTTTTTAGAACTTGATCAAAACCCAATAAACGCACTGGCAGCTTTCAAAGAGTGTCTGCTTACCTTTGTCATCTTGTGCTTCTCAGCATCTTGACTTGCCCCTACCCCATGGCTATGTAACTAAAGTGTACACGGCTGATGTAATAACTTAGTGTTATAATGACAGCTGGGGCATTAGGGTTCGTGTCTCTTACAGGTACGTGAACCTTTGTGCTATTAGTCGACGGCAAGTGACATATGAACTTGACCTTGTAAAGTTTCTTGCAACCCGTGGGACCGTTGATTCATATTCTGGTGTGAGTGTTTGAGCGAGTATGGTTTAAAGCCGCTTTTAGCAATATTCCCCGAAAGTCACAGTGGGATACGCCAGCAATGGGTTGTACACAGTGTAACCATATGGGGAATCGAACCCGGGCTTTTGGCGTGACGAGCGAACGCTTTAACCGCTGTGCTACCCCACCGCCCTACTGTGGGGGGAATTGCCTGGAAAACGTATTAGACAGAATGTTTTCGGCCAGTACTTCAAGACTTATTTTTTGTACAAGACATTTTTTCTTGCACCCAACAATTTCTGTTTAAAAACCTGAGGCAAAATTTTCTTTCGGGTATTTTCCGGAACAAATATTTTTCTTTGCAGAAACACCCAGCCCCCTTAAATAACAAACGTTTGCTATCGGGCTGGGAGAGTCATCACGGTGGTTACAGTGTTCGCTTTTCACGCCGAAGACCCGGGTTTGAATCCCAACATAGGCACAGTGTTGAGAAACCCATTCTGTGCGTCGCCAAGACTGTTTTATTGCAAGTAACGTCATTAAGCGACAATGAAACGCATATCGTAACTTAACAACCGTTATATGTAGTCTACCGCATGGATTGAAAGTGATTGATGAACGATTACTAAAAGTTTACCTTATTCTTTAATATACCACTCACCTTTAGATGGGGATAATTAGATATGTCATTCTATTTAAATATAACTTTAAATACAATGAAATTTAGTTTTGTGCATCAAGGAAAAGTATAAATATCCAATTCAAAGGGGGAATAGTACATAGGACTATTGGGCAAAAGAGGGCCCTCTTAAAAAATGGGGGGCACGGATGTCCCCGTGTTTTAAGGCGCCACAATTCGCTGTGCAGAGTTGCGCCCCTTGGACACGCAAGAATCCTATGATTGTTGGTTCGAATCCCGGTTCGCCCCGATAATGGTATTGGTTTGTGAGCACCATACCCGTGCTCGTGGGTTTCACCAAAGTGGTAAACCTCTAAGACCTGCAAAACGTCGGGCTTTCCTCCCACATTAATCTGACACGCCGTGATATGACTGGAATTCTATTCAAAGCTGCGTTAAACCCAACTCACTCACCCTAATAAATGCAAACTATCTCTTCGAACGTCAATCTACTCACCACATCTATAATCTGAGCCAGAGCCACCCCGAATGTGACGTTGAGCCTTTCGCTGGAGTTGATTGAAGGTCGTATGCGTTTGTCGTAGCCTTGTAGCAAGTCCCTCACTAGCCTGTACTCATTGTCGTCCGCTAGGGACATGGTCACTGAAACATATATAATAATACATGTAATCATATACATTGTCAACACATATTTAATGACTAGATCTTGACACATTAAGGAATGTTTGTTTGTTGTTTAACGCCGCACTCAGCAATATTCCAGCTTTATAACGGCGGTTGCTATTCTACCCCGGATCTTCACAGGTCCACAGGGAATGCATATACTGTAATTCTCTGAGTACATGTTGTATCATGTTTTGTCGACGGGGTCATTCAATATATAGTTTAGAAAGAAAAAGATAATGTGATTTTAAATCCACATGAAAACGGTTGTCAGATGTAATGTCTGTGACATGTTTGGTATTTATAATTTTATTTTGTCAAATCAATCACAAACATTATGTCCGATGCAATTCCCTATTTTGACTTGTGCCACATCTTCCCGTGCATTTTACAGGGGAACAATTGCCTTGCCTTTGCATGTGTTTGTCACGGGTGCCAGCTGTGGGGAGAATACGCTCACCTTTTCGCGAACACCTGGTATCATCAGTGTTTGACATTGATTCATAAACACGTGCTCATGATATACTTGGAATAGAACAATGAAGATTTCTAATGGTTATCGAAATATTTTTTGTCGCATTTACTACTTTCCATGGTGTAATTATATATGCACAGTAGGACATAGCCCAGAAGCATTGTTTCGAATCAATTTCAAAACTGTACACACGTAATTACACAAAGTACCCTTAATTCTGGAGCCTTTTAACGTTAGGTTTGACATTTGGCGTTGACGGTTTGAAGTTACCACTGTCAGTACTGTCTCCCTGTCTTTCTCGTTTCTCATGATTCATTACAAAAAATGGAAAGGGGTGAATATTCTTTTTTGATTTTATAACGACTGTAACCTAAACTCACAATTGTATTCAATGAAAACTATGACATTTAGAAGTTCATGATTGCAAAGACATACGGCGTTGCGGTCTTTAGGGTGACTTACTTAACTTTGTAATAACGTAACACGAAATTCATAATCGAAAATAATCGATTTTTACATGTAAATTATATTTTGTAATGGGTAGATTAATGGTTGATGATATGTGACTTGTGTGTTACATACCATCAATTATGTCGATAGAGGCTATTTGGAAATGATGTAGAGTAGAGCATAAAGTAATTAACGATGTATAAATTAAACGAATTACATATACCATGTCTAATTAGGCAAACAAATCATGTTTCCGTCTCCAAAAATCAACAAGAAGCTCTTGCATACCGCAACAGGAAGTGTTCAAGTTACCGTTATATTTCCTTGTTCCTGTCACTGTACACTAATAGGAAAAGTTTTTAGTTCTGAAGGAAGCGAATGTGATTCAAGGGTATTTACGATGCAGGAAGTCATTAAACAGGAAAATCGTTTGAGTGTAATGGGCGATGCCTCGCATGTTCTCAGGGCTTTTGGTAAGATGCACATAAAATTGGGATTATGTGGCCAAATGGTGGCCTTTGTCATTTGAAACGCAGTCCCATATGTCGACGCTGTTAACAAAGGTGACTAGATGTGGCATAGTGGTTAGAGCGTTCGCTTGTTACTACTGAGGCCCCGGGTTCATTTCTCCACAAGCGCAAAAAGCGTGAAGACGATTACTGGTGTCGTCATTCATGATATATCTGGAATAGTGTTAAAAGCGGCGTAAACAAAATTCTCATTCACGTCTTTCATCGACAGCTAAATGACCATTGGCTATTTCAACTCTATACACCACTATCCCACACAACTTCAAAAACTTCATTCCTTGATGGGGATTATTTCACAAAACGTGGTGACCGTAGATATACTTACATCTCTCTCGTCAACGGTTCAATACAATTTATAAAACAAATATGCAAATATCATCTGAAGTTTACTGATAAAACAATATGTGAAAAGCTGAACTTTCTGACCGACAGCAACAATGTGACATTTGGAGTAGGACATTGAGGCAAGAAGTAGGTATCCCCATGACACTAATTTCACTCGACTCGCCTGATCTGTTTCTTTATGCTTATGAGTTGGGATTTCTGTTCGGATTGGCAAACCCAAAACACAGGAATATAGCAAAGAAGGTTTAATTAAGTTTCGGGTGCATCGGTGATCAGATGTCGTTCAATAATGATTAAATTGCCAATTCCCTTACACGTGTTTACCCACCTGAACGTGTAAAGAGACCGCCTCATTTGTTTCATATTCGAACTATGCATAAAGATCCAGAGTTACAAAAAACTGTCCACCAGGGAGATAACGTCAATTGTGTAACATCCAACTTTCCCTTCATGTGGGACATTATTCCAGCAGCGCCAAGCTGAACGCCTCAGTAAACGTCATACTCAAAGGGGGCGGTCGGGTAGCCTGGTGGTTAAAGCGTTCGCTCGTCACGCCGAAGACCCGGGTTCGATTCCCGACATGGGTACAATGTGTGAAGCCCATTTGAGGTGTCCCCCGCCGTGATATTGCTGGAATATTGCTAAAAGCGGCGTAGAACCTCACTCACTCATACTCAAAAGTTTTTTGATAAGGGATACAGCATTCAAGGTCTTTGTAAAGTTTTCAAAACGTTTTATGGTGTATATGCGAATGATATTTCCTAATCTAAAGGCGTCAGAGACCCGATTCAATTACTATTTTGACAATAATTATGTTCCCATGTTATTTCGGATGAACACGTTACTTGCCTTTGCATGTGTTTGTGATAGGTGCCACCGGGGGGAAGAATCCATTAATATTTCGCGAACACCTTCTTGTGTCATTACCAACTGGTAATGATTCATAAACATTCGTACTGCTGTCTGCTTTTAGCATAGATGTCTTATGGGAGTGGTTTGGTTGCATTTATTCAATTATTTTGTTGCAGAGATTAGGAGGTATCAAACCAAAGGCATTGAGAACAATGGGTCGAAAAACTTGGTACTTGGGATGCAAGCGTGACATTTCGTAAGCGAGGTCAGCACATTTGCCATGTTTTCCCGGAATCTTAAAAATCACATTAGCGTCAAAAGAGACAGAGAATTAAATAATATAAATGATTGGATTTATCAAAAAGGACAAGGTCAGGTTTTTGGACTTGTATACGTCTGAGGCTGTATATACATGTAGGCCTATTCCAAAGAATTATAACTTTTCATGACGCCTCTACACATTCTGGGTCGTACCATGGATGGACCTCTGAGTCAAAACCACGAGCATGGCGAAGTAGGTAATAAAAAGATCTAACCACTCCATCATGTCGCTTAAGATGCTGTATCTGTGCCAAAGCTGGACATCAATTGACAATGTGTATGACAGTCTCATTACATTCATTGCATTATCTACATTTCATATTTACATTTTGATGCAAAATCCCACATTGACGGTTTCTTGTGGGAAGTGAGTGTCCCTGAGCAGAAAACAGAAAGTGTTCTGTTTCTTTTTCAGGCTAGCCAACATGTTTCAAGCAAAGGACTCTCAACACTCTGCACACAAACTCGACGCAATGGTCGTTCAGGGAGCCTTCCCTTGAAAATCCGAGCCTGTGCCGATTTGATATGGCACTTTGCTTGGTTGATAGCAGTACAGAATCATCAACAAAATCAATTGACAAACTGTAAAATAATGTTTTCATAAAAGTGCAATTCTATCATGAAGAGCCCCAACGTTAAGCAAACCACGCCCTACAATCATAGATCATTATCAATATTGATGTTGTTAGCAGTAGCAGCAGCAGCAGTGGTGGTGGTGGTGGTGTTGGTAGTAGTAGTAGTAGTACTAGTAGCAGCAGCAGCAGCAGCAGCAGTAGTAGTAGTAGTAGTAGTAGTAGTAGTAGTATATTCAACTTCAAATAGTGTACAAGAGTCCCACAGAAACATACACCCTAACTACGCACATGAATACAAGCCAGTTATTTTGCAAGTGACGTTCTATGGTCCACACTGCTGTGCCACAGTTGAACATGTAATCCAACAGTTCCATTGTCCCATGTGCAGGTTCATAAGACCCAATCAATCTCGACACCCCCTTGGCCCCTTCAAGTTAACAGCCCAGTGTGTTTACACAGACATGAGGAATCTGCGCCAGAGATTATTGCGAGTGGTTGCCTCTGACCGCCGACTTCCAGACAGACAGACACGTGTGTCTAATCCCCCATTCTACTAATCATCACGCTACTCCAGCAACTAATCAGATGACTCATGGACACCAGTGGGCAGAAGACAACTACTCTCATGCAAGACAACGCTATTTCAGCAACAGTGACTGTGTTGATACATATACAATACCCATGGGAATAGATGGCCACAAAGTTCACTACAGTCATGCCAATCTTGACCGCCTCCGTGGTCTAGTGGTATAGCGTCCGCCCGGAGAGCGAAAGGTCCGGTGTTCGATCCTCGGCCGCGTCATACCAAAAGACGTTTAAAGATGGTACTTGTAGTTACCCTGTCTGGCGCTCGGCATTAAGGGGCTAAAATAAGGACTGGTCGGTATACTGTGTCTGAGTGGGGTATTCATGTTATTCATGTTAACCTGCGGCATGGTATCTAAGTGTGCTAGCACTATAAATAGGCATCAGTCCGGACTAGTACAAACTGCGACATGGTATCTAAGTGTGCTAGCACTATAAATCGGCATCAATCCGGACTAGTACAAGCAGCCACACACACACACGTGCATGCACGTCGCTATATAAGTGCAATAATCTTGGACGCGACGTTAAACCCAATTACACCTCACCTCACCAATGAGAATATATACTTCGTGTTCTTTGTTATATGTATTTTTCAATGGTAGAGCCACATCATCTTCACTTCATCAAAATGATTGCATCGTGGCCATTCATGGAGCCATGGCTGAATATGACGTCCTCGATTGCATGAATGATGACGTCTCCATTGCTTTTCTATTTGAAGTCATCACTGTCATAAAGCTGTTTGCATCACCGTATCGAAAATTACCGAGTCTTTAATATGCAATTACAATATCGATGAAAACAAATTGAATAGTATATAATTCCTGGCATTTCAACTTTGAA